AGTGAGCTGAGGTAACCATGAGAAAAAAAGGCAGAAAGCCATTGAGTATATGTCAGAGCATCATCTATTAGTTTAAGGGTCTGCTTGCTGAAATGTGTCAGAAATAAACAAGCATAAAAGAAAACCCACACTAGGCACACAGCTAACATAGGTGGCTGTGGAATGCAGGTCACTTAAAGCTTATCTGTAGGCCGAGGGGCAATGTTAGAGATGAATGTTGAGTATAGCTCAGTGCCAGGCAGCCTCATTCAGAGGGCTGACTCTGAAGGACAAAGGATGGAAAAAACAATCTCATAGCCACAATGTTTCCCTAAACTGAGGACCGATGACAATAACATTAAAGAAGGGGACCATAATAAGGGCAGCAAAGCTACCAGCCCAGTGCTTTGGCATTTATGAAATGATCTTTGGGGTTCATGTCCCTATTTATTCTGTACTGCAAGATGCAAGGAGGCAATGAAGATCCAGGGTGTTATTTTTAAAAGTACTTGTAGAAAAAAATAAAATGATTTTTGTGGGGAGGAAGAAATAATTCAAAGTTGGGTACTTTGATGTACTTTGATAAAGCCATGGCTTTATCTCTGATCTTTATGATAGGAAACAAGGAAAACTTGGTCTTCCTAAGCAGCAAGATGCTGGGCCTACTCTTGGCTCTATTCTAGTAACTTGTTATGAATCTCCTTACACAGGTCAGAGCCCCCCTGGAACTCGGATCCTTCTTCTCTAAGTATGGCACCAGAATCAAGGATATTCACAAGAAGTAGTCATTGAGTAAATAGCTAAAAAAAATTATCTTAGTTATTTAAGAAATCTTCATTCAGATTTCTGAATAAATGTCACTTCTACAATTTTCTTGAACACATGACATAAAATACTATACCCAGCCCATCTCCTAGTTCCCTGTCCTGTCTTATTTTTCTTCACAGCCCTTGTTTCTCCACAAAATTATATATGCTCATCCATTCACTTTTCTTTTGGTGGTACTGAGGTTAGAACTTGGGACTTTGGGTTTGCTGGGCAGGAACTCTACCACTTGAGTTATACATCCTGCCGTTTTTTCTCTAGTTATTTTGGGGACAGTATCTCACTTTTTAGCAGGACTGCAATCCTCCTGTTTTAGGCTGCTGGTTGAAATGAGGTGTCACAAACTTTTTGCCTGGACTGGCTTTGAACCATAATCCTCCTGATATCAGCCTCCCTTGTAGCTAAGATTATAGATGTGAGCTACCAGCTCTCAGCTCCATTCACTTCTTTATTTCAATTATTCCTTCTAGAAAAGAATTCTTTTAGTTCTATACTTAGACAAATGAATAGTACACAACAGTGCTCAACAAGTATCTTTGGAATGTATAAAATAATGAGGGGCTTCCATGTAGATAAGAAAGATTATTTCAGGCTGAAAACATAATGTTGGCCAATCCTGTGAAAGAGTTAGAAGACTACAGATACCTACAGATGACACATTTTGTCCTGTAGAGAATCCTCCTCCAGCAGTATACCTCAGCAACCAGGATTTTATTTTTGTTCGTCATTTAAATATATGACAGTAGTATGTTTATCTTTTCTATTAAGATTTCTATTATTAAGATAATGTCTTTCCATTTAAACTTTTGAGTTATATATTAATAAAATTAATCACAACAGGTTTATATTAATAGACTTAACCCAAACAAGCTTAATGCTATTAATCAGGGTACTCAGGGAATGGGAAGAGGAGAGAGATGATTATAAATGCAATAGTTACAGCCTTCGCTCTTAAGTAATCCATTTTTCTTTCTACTTATTTCCCATAGTTGCTTTACTCACTGCCCTTTCTCTATTGCCTTTTATGATCCCCTCTTGTTTTCCTTTTCTCCTTCTGCAGACTTCTGTTTTATTGGTAGCTAAACTACAGATCACATGTATGTTTTAAAAGAATTCAATTTAGTCTTTCAAGGTTTACTACACAAGCAGTTCTTAAAGAAGGAGGATAAAAGTCACCAGATGCATAAGGCTTAGCAGTTACATGAAGCAGCTACTGGGAAAATGGTCCATTCTTTGATTGTGATTTAGTGGCCTTGGGTTTCCAGTTCTTTCCCCAACCGTATATATTGCAACCACAGAATTCACCCATACTTTTCAGCAATTAATCCTGTAATCATTGGAGTTTAGAACTACACTGGACCTTAGAAATCACCCACACCAATACCTTCAATTTATAATTGAGGAAATGGGGGCCAAGAAAGGTTAAGTGACTTGCCAGGGGCCACAGAAGTAATACATTGACAGGATACAGAGACCCAGATCATAGAGCAGGTCTCTCAAGAATGAGTGTTGGGGAAATCCAAGAAATACTGCAGGTTTCATCAAAAATGGAAGAAAAGATAACTGATCTAAATGAAAACTTGGGAAATAAACACTGAGAACTTCAAGTACAAATAAATCCACTACTAAAGAAATACCTGAAATATTCTTCTTTCTTAAACAATATATGACAATTAAGGAAAAAATAGGCTAGATCATTGCACTGTCTTTTTTTTGTTTTTACTCTAAATTCATTTATTTTCTCATATTTAATAGCTTTCAGTGTAACATCTTATATACTTAGTGACTATTCCATTATGTTGACCTCTAACTCATGCCTTTCAGTAATCAAAAGCAGCTGATTTTAATGTGCCGCTGCTTTAGTGTGAAGGATATTAAGGCTGCATTTGAATGCAATCAGGTTAAGATTGGCTCCAACAGGAGAAAAATCCATACATATGTTGAAAAGATCTGAAAAATGCCTGTATTCCCAACCTGATTATGACTTACATTTTTGCATGGTTTGTCAAAGCAGATCACCAAAATCAAATCAAGATGTAAGAGGGATAAAGTGGTTTTATTCTCCATTCTTTCATTAATCACCATGACCTATTGAAGAAGGGAACTTTTCCCTCTGTCACCTGAGGCAAGGTGGGATACTTCACTGGAAGTTATGCCAATTTTTATCAACTGGTAGTCAAGTTCCAAAAGCAATTTCTTAGTTTTTGTTTCCACGTTTGTAAACAGAAGTTATTTTATTACATAGTAATTTGCCATTCCTCTCAATGATTACTTCTACTTCCCTTTTAATAAAACAATAAAACAAATTCTAACAGAATTTTGAAAACCAACTTAATTTGAAGGTTATATAAAATATCATTAAACTGAAAATGTAGATAAAGAAATTAGAGCAATACCAAATAGACAAAACTTGGTAAAACATAAATACAAATTAAGTCAGAGCCAATTGCTGGTTTACTCGTCAAAAATAGAATAATAAATCAGGCATAAGCAAATTGGAGGGGGGCAAAATTTAAATTGCCAATGGTGCCAGGTATGCTCTGTTAAGACAGTATACAGTTAGCAGCATAAACAAGTACAAATACAATAAACGTTATGGTTAACAATATAGCTGTTATCCACAAAAACCTCCAGCAAGACTAGAGGTAGGTCAAAATAAAGAGTTTTAGAGGGGAGGGGTATGTGTTGGCTCTTGTTACATATAAGCATGTTTGTTACATGAGTATTTTCAGTTTAATTTTTGCTATTAATGTAAACCACAATTGGGGGACCATGTTTCTGGAAAAGGAATTGAGGGAGGGGCTGGTTATACAAACAATATACAACAAAGAAAGTCTTTCTTTCCAATACCTGACTACATCAGGTTTGTTTTTAGGCAGAAGGTTGCAGGTTAAATGCTCTCAGCTATCCAAGAAGCAGCTTATTAGTTTTGTAAGAAAATATTTCTTATATTTTGACTGAAAAATACCCAGTTTAGGTGAACAAAACCATCCTTGTTACTGAAAAGCAGACCCAAAAAAACTTTGTTACAAAGACCCAGTAAGGAAAAGCAAAAGCAAAACTAATTCAAGAGGAAAAGCTGCTTTCTTAATAGTAGCTTCTGAACCTGGCCCTAATAGTTCTCAAAAGCTGACTGGAGTCTTTAAGTCTTCAAAATTTTGTCTTTCTCCATGGATCATAGACATTCTCTATGAGGCAGCACAATGTAGATGTAAACCCATTTTAAGCAGATACATGTTGTCTTTCTGAGGTATAATAGTAAAAAAAGCTACAAAACTATGTGTCAACAGAAAGAACGCTGGCAAACAAAAGTTTGGATTATTTTATAGGTCAGTTTTCCAAACATAACTTTCTTTCTTTTTTTTTTGCTTTTCTATTTTGTGAACTAAAAAAAAAAAAAAAGCCCAATTTCATTTGTGACAATGCAGCATCTGACAGTGATATAATAAATGGTGACCAGTGATGACTGTGTTAAGAGATAGTGCTAATAATTGCATTTCAACAAACTGATGCTGCTTCAGCCAGCACCTAGCTATGTGCTCTTCTCCTAATTTCTAAATGGGCCTAATCCTGTTATTACAGAATAATGACTGCAAATCAGCACAATTACTACAAAGAGTTGTATAAATACACACATACCAGTAGCTGTTTTCTACAAATTATTATCAAAACAAAGAGAAATGGCTAATTGTAGTAACATTAAGACAGTGTTTATTCCTCCCAGTGTTTGGGCAAGTTTATTTTAAGTTGTCATCTTCGACTAGTGACAACGCAAAGGATTTTACAGATTCCATAAACCTTTCTAATCTAAACTCTTCTCAACTGCGAGTTGGCTGTTTTCCTCAGAGCAACATCTGCAAAGGCCCGATTTCACAAGAACCAGCTTTATGGTACATTTACAAAAAAAAGAAAGGAAAAAAATTCTGATCCACATTTTTAGAAATCTTATTTTAGAAAGTGCATTTATAAAGTAATCTTTCAAGTTATTTTAAAATGTCATGAAAGTAAATGAAATGTTCACTTTATAGTCATCACAATTCAGCCATTTGCTTCTACGTAAGTAGAAGGTGCCTCCTCTCCAATGTTGCTATCAGGTTTCCTTCATGGATAAATAACTTTTATTGAAAGGCAGGGTGTGGAGGGAGGGGCAGAATTCAGAATGCACACAGCACATGATAGTGGTTATTCAAGCCTACCTCCTGGACAGTGCCTCATGGCCATCTTGCATCTCCTAGATTCAGCAATAGTTGGACATGGTATTGTGTCTTTTGCTGGCTTTTTAACAATTTGCCGTGTTCGGGTTTCCAGACCCCATTTAAATCCACATGTGCGATTATTCCTGCTACAAGTTCCCCATTCACTCCAATGACCAACTTCACATCCTTCTAAAAAGAATTTAAAAAATGCAGACAGATAATATTTGGTATCCATTTGCTCCATGACATCAAATTTACACATCAGTGTTTATCCAGACACCAAGTATGAAATAGCCTAAAAATATCTACACTTGCCTTTTCAGAACTATAATTCTTTGAATCATAGGATACTGGTATACAGAACAAACAGATGTCACATGAGTAATTTAAAAACTACGATTTTCCATTTGTCTCAGTTCATTTTCTGAAGGGTTGGTTCTGGTCAGGTCTCACAATACAAAAATATATAACCTCTAAAAGACTGAAAGATACTATTTTTATATAGCGGAAGCTAACATTTCACATATTAATTCTGAATTCCCTGCTCCAAATCCACAAATGTGTTTGTTTTACTCTGGAAGCTCTTGAGAGAAAATATAGGGAGCCTGTCTTTTATTTTTTGGGACTCTATATTTTTTCAAGAATTGTTTGAAAGCCAGTGCTGTACATTACTACAGTGTGAAAAGTAAACAAAGATGATCACATATCTGCTTTTCCTGATGATATAGTAGAGGTTGTGGGTGGGGGAGTAGAAGGACAAAGACTTGCAGAGTTTAACCTCCTCACCAACTTCAAGTTAGTAGATAAGGACTCTGACCCAGAGTCCTACTGAGTTCTAAATTTCAGTAGGCATCATAGCCCCTACTAAGGTCTTTCAAAGTCACTTATGATTTTTATTCAAGGGAATAGACAGGACCATTTGTGATGTCTATGGTTAAGATTTCATAAGCATTTCCATTGAACATTTGGAATGGGCCTTGTTTCTCAAAAGCAAATTCAACTTTCTGAATATGATCGTTCAGTGACATTTTTAATAGTGTTGTGTTGCCTGCATGTATGAAGTGACACGTAAATAGGAACATAAATGTACACATTCCTTTTGAGTTCTCTTCCTACAAGCCTTCAATTGCCTTATTATAGATTTCAGTAATATTTTTGCAGAGAAAACTGGCAAGTTTTCTTTTAAGTCTCTCTATTTTAAGGGACAGAAAATCCGATAATACATAGCTCTGCTGTATATCAAATCAGATATATAATGTATCAAATAAAATTTGGGAAGAAGCATGAAATTAGTCATGATTTAATTTATGCATTTATCAGCATATAGCCATTGACAGATTTTTATCTTTTAATCAGTGGTATAAAAATTCCAAGGTATTTTACAAACATTAAGATACAAAATTTACAAGATGTGTATTCCTACCTATTTTCACAAAATGTGCATATTAAATTATGAATTTCAGGAACTAAAATTCAGTAACAGTAAAATTATTTTAATGTGCTTCACACATGTAATGGATCATCAACAAAATATATTTGGCACAAAAAATTTCCTTCCACCTTTTTTTTTTAAATAAAAATGGCTAAGCAAGGAACACTGTAATTCATTCATTTATACAGCAAACTCAATAGAATGATTAATTGAAATCCTATAGCTTGAAACTTTTGGTCTTTTTCCTAAATGGAAAGCTTTTCTCTAAGTTGCTAATTATTTATTAAGGTGATTAGAGCAAATGTGTTTTACACAGGTAATGTACTTTGACAGCACTTAAGCAGGTTAACCCAGCAACTTTTGTAGCAAGATCTCATACTGAGACTACCCATCATCAGGACACAAAGATTTCAGAAAGTCAGCAAAGAAATAAAACAATTCAGTCCTAATGAGCAAGAGAACTGATTTGTTTTTAGGTTGAATACACACAGCATACATATTTTCAAGGAGTTTGAGAGATGCATTAAGAAGTACTCACCCACACATTCCATGGTCTCATCTAATGGTGCAAAACCATCTGGACATTCATCAAAGCATCGGCCTCTATGCAAATAAAAGCCTACTTTGCACTTGGTACAAAAGTCTTTGCTAAAGCAAGAATCACAGTTTTCTATTCTGCACCCTGAAAATAGTTTTGAAAAGAAAAAGAGAAAGTTTTAGTCAAAGGAATTTACTTATTTTACTGATAAAATTTTCACAAACTCGCCAGTTAACACAACTGAAATCCTAGTGGCTCGAGAAATATGTGTTCAATGCATTTTTTTTCTGGTGTCATTTCATTCTAAACCTTTCCTACCTCTTCCAACAGCTTTCCACATTAATAAACTATGTTAGAACACCAGCCTAGAGCACTGGACAGCAAGAGACTCCAGAAATGTTTCCAACTCCAAATATGATTAAAACAAAAGATTAAAAAGAAAACACTTCTGCTATAAATTACAATGCTGCCAGGATTGAAATCTATTCTTCCCTTCAAAGGACCTATAACACAGTAGGAACACTAATCTTCAGCTTAGAGACAATAAGTGAGTTAATAAATCTTAAAATATTTTTAAATGCCTAGATTATTATATAGAACACCCATTAATGGTGGCATCTACTTTCATCAGCCAATGACTTGAGAAGGGTGAGGATAAGGGTTAAGTCATTTTGCTGAAAACCTATGATGTACCAAAGGCCTCACGTACATTTTTGTTGACTTTTCACAATAATCATACAGGGTGAGTTGTAGAATCCTCACTTTGTAACAAAAAGCCTGAGACAGAGAAAAAAATCACATAGCTGGTAGTGGCAGAGTCGGTTCTGAAAGCTCCCTAAACCATCTCTCTCCTAAATCTAGTCTCTTTTCTCTATAACTCACTAACCAAAGTCTACTAGGAACAGTTTGTGAAGCAAAGTATTTTCAGGTCTGTCTGATCAGGGTCTAAATACTAGCTCTGTGACTTTGAACAACTACATGTCTCTCTAAACTTCCATTTCCTCACGTATAAAACAGATGTTACTGATCTTACAAAATGATAGAAAAGATTTATAATAAAATATGTAAATTGCCTGTCACATAGTACCTAGTCTACAGATAGAAGGAATGGTGAATTAGAAACGTGTTTTTTTCCACCAAAATATGTTCATTACAAGGTACTTAAAAAGCAATAATTAATAGGCTTGGGTTCTAGATCAGATTTCCTGATAGGCCAGTAACCTCTGAGCTAGAGGTTCAAGAAAAGGAAAATAAATGCACTTCAAGAAGAGGAAAGGAGAGAAGGTTGGTGGATTAGTCAGGTTTTCAATGGATTATAGTGTTATTACTTGTAACAGATCTAAACGATAGCAACTTATAGCATGTAAGGTGCTATTAAAAACTCCACGGCACACATTTATGCTTTTTTGTTTTTCAGTGGTACTGGGGTTTGAACTCAGGGCTTTGCCCTTATTAGGCAGAAGCCACTCTGCCCATCTCCACATTTATTCCTTTAACAACTCTCCAGCACTGTATCTAGGGTTTTAAGGTTTCTGCAAAGCTTTAAAATACATAGTTCCTACAACCAAATAGACAATGGGATACAAAATATAACCAAAATATAAAATTGGTAAACATTAAAATTTTGAAAATTAAGAAAATAATGCAAGAATTAAAAGTTAAAAAAATCATTAAAATGGTGACATTACAATAACAGTTTCTAGATGTATGAAAAGAAAATGGCCACTCTTTGCCTTTCAATTTTGAGTCTGAACAGATTTTTAAGTAGTAAATGACCACCACTGAGCAGGTTACTCAACATCTAAAATGCTTTCAAATTTACAATTTGGACAACAACTACGCATGGGTTAAATTATAGTATTGCTCCTTTGCTAGCAGAGGGAAATAGTGGGCACAGAAATAAAATTTATCATAAATGCTGTAACCTGTATTTTAATAAACAGTGGTTTACAGCTGGTCAGTAGCCTTTCAATCATGGTCAAAATACATGACCATTATGTCCACAAATTATTGGTGTTCTTGCTAGTTTTTTTTAAAAGTAAGCAGACCTTTTTGTTACAGAATTAACTTCCAAGAAATGATAAGCATTCCGAAGGACAAAATAGAACAAATGGGTAAAAAGAAGAAATAACTTACATTTAAAACAAAGGACTTCATAAATAAGCTGGTCTCCACAAGGTCTAATTTCTACTTTAAATAGGGTCTACACCAATAAGACTTTTGGCCAAAAAAATTACAGCAATAGTATTTAGAATTAATTTTACAAGGCTTTTCGCTGATTGTTATTGTTGCTAGAGTTCCCTTTCCTTATTTCATTCTTTGCTCCTGATACCAATTTGCAGAATATGAAATTTCTGAAATACCTATCATTCTCTGTAGAGTCCCTTAGGACTTTTTCAGGCACAAATCTGCTAAAAGAAGGCTTACTTACTTACTTGCTCTGAAGATTAAGTCGAATAAAAATACAATGCATTCAAATAGTAGACTACCACTTCATTTAAAAACTGGCACAGGGGCTTGTGCCTGTAATCCCAGCTACTTGGGAGGTAGAGATTCGTGATCATTAGATCACAGTTCAAAGCTAGGCCATGAAAAAAGTTAGCAAGACCCACATCTCAATCAGTAAGTCAGGTATATGCATGCCTATGATCCCAACTTCATGAGAGGCATAGGTAGGAGGATCTCTGTCTGAGGCTGCCTTGGGGGGAAAACAAATGACCCTATCTAAAAAAAACAAAGCATAAAGGGCTGGGGGCATGGCACAAATAGTAGAGTGTCTGCCTAATAAGTGTGAGGCTCTGAGTTCAAATCCTCTCCCCACAAAAAAAAAAAAAAAGACGCACAAAGGGAATTATATGTAATGGCCCACAAATGTTCTAACACTTACTGTTAAGTAAAAAGGTGGGCTGCAAGATAGATGATAATGATGATAGATTGATTATATTAGATTAAATAGATAGACAGCTAGATGACAGACAGATATTATAACACAATAAAGTGTGTATAAGAGAGTGAGAGGGGACAGAGAGGAAAGAGATAGAAATCGAGAGAAAAAATAGCTTAAAGAAATTTACTTGGGGAGGGGATGGAAATTTTTGAAATGTTCTTGTATTTATGAATCACAATTTTATAATTGTAATTTATGTGATAAAATATAACAGAAAAGATTGTCAAACATATATTTGTAACCTTCTGAACTTCACTATATTAACATTATGAAATAAACCACTTTGCTTTTAACAGGGAAAAATAAAGGCACATATCCGATCCCAAACTTCTTCAGATTTTTGTCCATAAAACTATACCCTTATTTAGTAATGCTGAATCTGCTGAAACATTCAACATATTCACCCATGTGACCATCTCTTGCCCGCATCCTGCTTTCTTACATTCAGCAGCACGTTGCCTTCATTAGTAAAGAAAAAAAGCCTAAAACATGATACATGAAATAAAGCATTTGCTAAGAATTTTGAATAATGTCAAATCCATATACCTGAAGCTCTGTTGGACTTCCTGGTTTCCAGTGCTCTCTGTTACAACATAAAAGCACACAGGCCACTTGTGCAATTGGTAGCCTGCAGTGACAGACTCATCTCACCAACACCGATGGGCCTCACGTTCTCCAAAAATTTCCTTAATGTACTTCAGAACCCGGAAACTTTTTCTCACCAGCTCCAGATCCACACACAACCCTGGACCTGTTCAGTCATTCCTCTAAGAAGTAACTCTTCTGCTTGATGGAGGGTGACCTCTTAGGGGCCTGACAATCCCACACGTCTCCTCAGCCTGTAGCCACTTTTCCCAAACCACTTAAGTTTGTTACCCTTAATTTAATTGATTCCTATCAACTCTTAACTTTTTACAGATATAATTAAAATACTATCATTATAAGTAAAAATTCAAAACATTGCAAAATCTTTAAAGGATAATATAGAAATCCTCTTTCTCACCTAAAAGACACACCAGGCCTACTCCTCAAAAATGGCCACTGTGATAACAGACTCTTGCTTATGCTTTACAGAAACCTCTTTGCAAAACTTGTAAATTGAATGAGTTAAGCACCATTAAAACAGCAACTGGATCACACAATAGATAGTTAAAACTTAGAAAATGTTATACTGCATCAGAAAATAGGTATAGCAAAATTTACTAAACATAGGCCTTTTCTAAAAAAAATGTTTTAAATCCTTGCACAGAAATATAATATCCTACTTTAGCCAACTTACATGTTTCTAAATTACAGTGCCTCCTCAAAAATGTAGTCTACCAAGTGAGGCCTGCCAGAATTGGTTTAAGTAAAATTACTGTCCAAGTGAAACTGTGGCCAAATGCAGTTTGATGGGGCTGTCATTTGGCAAGAAGAGCTTATCCTGGCCAAGAAATGGGAAAACAGGCTGGGTACCTCCTCGCCTTCCTCTCACAGCACCCCATAAGGCTCCAGTGTAACATTTTTCAAATTATACTGGTACTGCAGTTCAACAGTTCATTCCAAACATTCCCAAGAACCTAGTAGGTGCTGGTATTGTGCCAGGTCCTGAGAACATAAAACATGACACCCATTCCCTCTCCTGAAGGTGTGAAAGCCAAAGAGAATGGGCCATGTGGCACTAACAGGGCACAGAAAAATAGCATAACAGTCTAGGCATGGGCTGGGTACATTACAGAGAAACAGGACCATTTCTGTTGTTCCTTTAAAAAGTTTTTTTTTAGTTTGAATTCCTTATTCCTAGCACAGTGCTGGACACATAGAATTTTAAGGCTTACCAAGTGAATAAGCATAAATACCATTTAAAAACTCAGTTTTTTTGAGTTTTTGAGCGCTCAGTATGAGATTGCTTACACATGCATTATAAAGATCTTAATACTTTAAAAAGTCATCCTTGCTGTAGAGAACTATAAATCACATTGAAAGAACCAACAGTCAAACACTCGAAAACAATTTTAATAGATAATGTAAATATCAAAGTAAGGCAGGTGATATATGCTGTGAATGTTGGAGTCTCAACATGTTTTAGAGAGAAATAGAAGAGCAGAGTCCTGGCAAAGGGTATGGGGGGTTTCCCCCATAAGGCAGTGGGGAAAATTCATATAGCCTGTGACAGGCCCAGTGAGGAGTGGCCTGAATAAAATGGAGGTCAGGCAGT